CCCCTTCCCCCAATCCTTCCTGACCAGCTCCACTGCCCCCAACCATCTCCCAGCCATCCCTGCTTCCTGCCGGCCGGTTCTCCTCCTCCCGGTCTCCCACGGCCAGCCGTGCTGCCCCCGACCCTCCTTCCCGGCCAGCCCCTCCCCTCCCCCCATCAAGTGTGTCCGGTATTTTTTCTAAACCTACCTGGTAACCCTGTCTAGGTGGTGTTTGGTCCTGCCATGAGGGCAGGGGACTGGACTTGAACCTCTCGAGATCCCTTCCAGTCCTAGTGTTCTGTCTGGGGACATCACAAGAATAGTCAACTACAGGTGACAAATCTGGTTTTTTATATATAAAACCCCTGTTGATGCCAAGTGGCTTGAAGGGGTTGATAGCACATATGAATTAGACAGGGACCCATTCTTTCCTATATTTACTGTACAAGGTTGTATTTATATAACTGATTATATCTCCCAACTAGCTGCCGTGTCTCCAGGAGAAGGGTAGAGAGAGATGGACCTCCACCACCATCTTTTGATACAACATACAGCCTCACAAGCGCATTTCTCTCTCTGCAGTGCCTTCCCTCTGAACAACAACTATTTACTTGCTACATTAGCTGGCAGCAGGAGTGTCAGTCTGTGCTGCAAAGCTGAGGGGTTAGGATTCAAACCCAGTTTATGATGCACAATAGAGGGCTTGTTCCAACTGTACCAAACAGAACTTGGTTTTGTCTTTTGCTTTTAAAAAAAATCCAAACCACTTAGTTGATTGCATATGGAACGTCATTAAAAGAACATTAAGGTTGCAAACTCAAGAACTCCAGAGATAAGAAATACCATATCTACAGTTGCCCATGCAACTTTAACCTATTGCATGTACGTTTTGATAAGGTCTTTAATTCACAGGGTCGGGTACAACATTTTTCCATGGGACTCCTGCCTCATTCTGGTGCACAGGATGGTTGCACAAGGAGGCAGCAGTAAGCTTGTACAATGGTAAATCTGGCTTTCTTTCCACCACTTGACATGCAACCTAACAAATGCACTTTCATGTCAGTTTTAATATACAAATACCTGATGGATAAATAGCTGAGAAATTTTTTCTGCAGATTATTCTTAACATTTGTCTTTAGGGGCTCTGACTACTTGAGAGTTTCTTCTGTTGTACAAAAACTATTTAAAATGTATTTGTGATGTTATTCTTTCATTTAAATAGCCTTCGCGAATCCTTGATCTTGAAATCCACTTTAATGGTTTTCCTGTTTTAACACATGAATAAAAAAAAGTGATATTTTTCATTGAGGGTGGCAGTTTTCATCTAAGGTTACAACCATGTTTGATCTTTCTGAGCCATTGTTTGTTTTGGATTTGAGATCCTCATAAACCAACAAAACCCAAGTTAGATTTTTCCAGTGTCTTTCATTGCTGCTCCAACATTGAGATCAGTTGATGTAGTTTTGCTTACCTCACCATGCAGCTAAAGGGCGTAATGGCATAGTAAGTGATTTTAATTATGAGACTACAGGGCAGTGGAAGCTCTGAAGTCATGCAAATAAGAGGTATTTTGCTCAAATTGTTTGGAGTAGGCCAGTGGAATGGGAGGTTTAAGTTAAAATGCATCTGATATATTAAATTAGCTTTGAAATGCTATAACCTCTATAATAATCTCTTCTGTAATTGGTTAGCTTTCACAGTGCATGAACTTAACACTATGTATCTGGCCCAGTCTCCAGCAAAATTCATAATGGGATTGTGAGGGCAAGTGTGTGTTAATTGCAATAGAACTGTAGAAGAGCTAATGTAGGTGGAGCTATGTATGTGCAATAATAGCAGGATCAGGACAGTGTCAGTAAAATCCATGTTCCAAAAGTGCTGAAGCTGAAAATGTGAATTCAGTCCTGAACCTGAGATGCCTCCACCACTCCCACTGCAGCCTGTGGGAAGAGCTGGTTCTCAGCACTTCTCAGAATCGGTTTCCAGGAATGTGGTAACAGTAGCCCTGAGCCCAGTTTAGTCTGGGATGACATACTATGGCTCCTAGGTTGTGGGAGCAGGCAATGAGGGAGGAAGCCAATCTATGGTAGATCAACAAAGAGTTGGAGTCCATGCTGGGCTCTCTTTCTGGCATTACATGAGATCAGGACCCTGTGATGCTAGGTACCATGTATCTGTGTAATGCCAACAGACTTGGGTTGTCAGCAGGTGGGATAGAACTTGGGACCTCGGAGCTATAGCTAAGAGCCTTTTCCAAGTGATCTGAAAGCTAATGGGCTCTTAGTTAAGGCTATAAAGCAGACTTCACTCTCCCCCGCACTGGTCTTAATACCTCTGGGTTGTATGCGCATAACGCTCCTTACCCCGGAGCTTCCACTCCAAATGGCAAGTCAGACAAATAGTGCCAGAGAAGCAAAAGCATCTTCCTTAAGATGCAGATAAAATGAGTGGTTGTCAAGATTAAATCCTAGATTGTCTAACTATCGGGTGCCCTACCGACAGGGCAACTTACTCTCCTACTTCTCTTTCAACCTGGGAACTGGATGAGGGTTGTTACAGCTGCTTTCAGCAGACCTCATTAATGCACTTTACACTTGCATGGATTAACAGACATTACACCATCTTTCTGTGCAAACTTTTCTCTGAATAACCTAAAGAGGGAAGAAGACTTTGCAGCCAGACAGATAGTATATTTAGGGATAAAAATATCAGAGGGGTAGCTGTGTTAGTCTGGATCTGCAAAAGCGACAAGGAGTCCTGTGGCACCTTATAGACTAACAGATGTATTGGAGCATACGCTTTCGTGGGCAAAGACCCACTTCGTCAGATGCATGTGATAACAAAGATGATTTTCTTACCCGAGAAATATTTGCAGCCCTAATAAGTGATGTTTAAGAGAGAGTGAGTTCTAGCCAGCACAGTGGATTGCTGAACTTAGAAGAGGACTAGGGGAGTGCGGAGTGCTGGGCTCAAGTACCACTTTCCCTTCCACCCATCTTGGGAATGGCCATACACCTGCCACTCAGGGCAAAAGAGGCAGGGCTGAAGGTAGGCAGGACTCAGAACATGCCACACAGTGCTCTAGCAGCATAGGCGTGTGCATGGGGTGTGCCCAGGCACACCCTAATGTCTCGGGCCGGCTAACCCGAGACATTTTTGCGCCCTAGGCCCCATTCGGCCCAGCAGCACCGTGCAGTGGCCCTAAGGCAGCCCTGAGGCGCCTGGGAACGCCCTCACCCAGCACAGTAGCACCGCACAGCACCCCTGAGACGCCCAGGAGTGCTCCCGCCTGGCACGGTAGCACGGCATGGCGCTCCAGAGGCGCCTGGGAGTGCCCCCGCCTGGCCCGGCAGCACGGCACAGCGCCTCGGAGCGCCCCCACCCAGCCTGGCAGCATGGCGCGGTGCCCCGGACTAGGGCCCAGCCGGCCTGTAGCTTGGGCCGGCTCTGATTCCAGCCCCGCAAATAGGAAGGTAGAAGCCGAAGGTAAGGTAAGGGAGGAGATGGGAGGGGAAGGGGGGGAAAAAAAAGAGGAAGGGGTGGGAGAGGAAGGAGCTTGTGCTGAGGGGAGCGGGGCAGGTCAGGAGAAGAAAGAGGAAGACACCAAGGGGCAGGGTGCAGGAGAAACAAATGCCAGGGGGGCCAAGTGCAGACAATGAGAAAAAGGGCAGGAGGGAGGAACAGGGTGATGCTGGGAGAGGAGAGGGTAAAGGCATTGTGGGTTAGAGGGGGAAGGGAGAGGTGCCGGGAGAAGGCTTGAAAGAAGGGGTGGGCATGAGGAAGGCAGGGATGGAGCAAGGTATGTGTGAGGGCACAGGCATGAGGGAAATGGGGGCAGAGGGTGATGAGGGGGTGGGCACCAGGGAAGAAGGGGGCAGGGCAGTGAGGGAAGCGGGAAACACCAGGAGGGCGCAGGGATAAGGGAAGGTGCAGGTGCCAGGGGTTTCTGAGGGTGAAGCAGAAGGGCAGACACCTGCAGGGGAGGGACCAGCACCAGAGGAGAGGGGCAGGGCAGGTGTGTAGAGGGAGGTGTTAGGAGAGGGGATGAAGAGGGGTAGCTCACATGATCAGAGTGGGGCTACTGGAGGAGTGGGCACAGGAGGGAGAGAAGGGCTGGTGGAGGGGGACAGGTCTCAGGATGGCTGTGAGCAGTGAGAAGGGCAGGAGTCAGGACAGCAGAGGAGGGTGAGGGGCTGGGGGGCAGCAGGCACCAGGGGAGCTGATGGAGCAAGGGGAGGAGACATGGCAACAGAGGGAAAAGGTAAAGGTTTATGAGATATTTATTAATAACTTGGGTGCCACAGTGGCACATCCAAACAAGCCACATGAACTCAGTACTGGTGCACAACACAATTCATTCTGCTCATGGGAGGAAACTGAGGGAACGCTTCCCCCAGCCTCTCCACCCCCAAGTTAATGTCACACACATTGGGTTAATGCACTTTCAGGATAGTTGCATGAGGGGAGTTTAGTGGGGGCCAAATTAATCCCTGTTGGTAGGAGGATGGTGGGAAAAGTCCTTAGAGGGGGGTCACATAACACCTTTTACTTCTGGTTATGTGCCCATCTTGCCCCCAGAGTGTTACTCCAGAGGTGTGGCCAATGGGAGTCAGGGGGTGTGACCAATGGGGGTCAGGGGCGTGGTTAATGGGTCAGGGGTGTGGCTAATGGGGGTCAAAGTACATTTACAAAAATTCTTTGGGTGCACACCCTAATGAAATGTACTGCGCACGCCTATGTCTAGTAGCAATTTAAAGGGTGTGGGGGCTCTGGCCGCCCTGCTGTGGGCCCTTTTGAATCGCTGTGTGCTGGGGCAACTGCCCCCTTAGAGAACAGAGTACGGGTTGTGCAAGTTAACTTGAGTCTGATGCTCTTATACTTTTCACCATCTCTGGAGGTTATAAAAGTATTGCATGTTTTGGTACAAGCGGTTCCTGTTCCTCTTCAATTTCTCATCCACTAAAGGTGCCACTAATTGGTTATGGATTTTCATCTCTCGTGACGTTGCTTTTGTATTTCAGATTGCCTATGCTGCAGTGGACTGTGCCAAAGAACAAAACCATGATCTGTGTAAACAGGAAGGTGTTGATGGCTACCCCACCTTTAACTATTACAACTACGGAAAGTTTGTAGAAAAGTATAATGGAGAGAGAGGAGTAAGTATGATTACAGGTTGTTGTTTGAAAAAAATAACTGCCCAGGAGAGAGACATGTCTTGTGTGTTTTTTCCATTTTTGTGGTAAATGAACATGATGGGGTAAACTTTCAATGGATTGCAAAAGGCTTTAACTTCCCCTCCCATCACTAATTCACTGGGTTGAATCCCTGTGTATCCCACCCATATGCGTTAGTGAACTGGAACTTGCTTGGTGTATTTGGGGAAGTTCAGCATTTGCTAAGGAAAATTTGGAGTGAATATGATGTCATTTTTTAATAAAAAGTCTGCAGTTAGACATAGTTCTAATGAAAATGGGAAAATCATTGTACTGGGTAGAATTAGGCCTAGAGTTAGCAGATGATATGAAAATGATTCTGTTTAGCTTTATGTTCGTGGTATACCTAGACTTTTTAGTAAGGCATTTGATATGGTCTCGCATGATATTCTTATCAAGAAACTAGGCAAATACAACTTAGATGGGGCTACTATAAAGTGGGTGCATAACTGGCTGGATAACCGTTCTCAGAGAGTAGCTAACCGTTCACGATCCTGCTGGAAAGGTATAACAAGTGGGGTTCATCGGGGGTCTATTTTGGGACCGGTTCTGTTCAATATCTTTATCAAAGATTTAAATACAGCCAGGCCCGACTTACAAATGGGTTATGTTCCAAACACCTGGTTGTAACTCGATTTGTTCATAAGTCAGAAATACATTCTTTTACATACAGCCACGCTGTTCATAAGTGCAGATGGTGTGTTCATAAGTCGGGGACCGGCTGTATCAGCATAGAGAATATGCTTATTAAGTTTGCAGATGATACCAAGCTGGGTGGGGTTGCAACTGCTTTGAAGGACAGGGTCATAATTCAAAATGATCTGGACAAATTGGAGAAATGGTTTGAGGTAAACAAGATGAAATTTAATAAGGACAAATGCAAAGTTCTCCACTTAGGAAGGAACAATCAGTTTCACACATAAAGAATGGGAAGTGACTGTCTAGAAAGGAGTAAAGCAGAAAGGGATCTAGGGATCATAATGGATCACAAACTAAATAGGAGTCAACAGTGTGACACTTGCAAAAAAAAGCAAACATGATTCTAGGATACATTAACAGGTGTGTTGTGAGCAAGACACGAGAAGTCATTCTTCTGCTCTACTCTACGCTGATTAGGCTTCAGTTGGAGTATTGTGTCCAGTTCTGGGCACCACATTTCAAGAAAGATGTGGAGAAACTGGAGAAGATCCAGAGAAGAGTAACAGGAATGATTAAACATTTAGAGAAAATGACCTATGAAGGAAGACTGAAAGAATTGGGGTTGTTTAGTTTGGAAAAGAGAAGCTTGAGAGGGGACATGATAGTGGTATTCAGGTATCTAAAAGGGTGTCACAAGGAGGAGGGAGAAAAATTGTTCTTCCTGGCCTCTGAAGATAGAACAAGAAGCAATGGGCTTAAACTGCAGCAAGGGAGGTTTAGGTTGGACATTAGGAAAAAGTTCCTAACTGTCAGGGAGGTTAAACATTGAAATAAATTGCCTATGGAGGTTGTGGAATCTCCGTCTCTGGAGATATTTAGAAGTAGGTTAGATAAATGGTCTAGCCAGTATTGGGTCCTGCCATGAGGGCAGGGGACTAGACTCGATGGACTCTCGAGGTCCCTTCAATTCCTAGTATTCCATGATTTTAATCTGGACTGGCCAAACTCAAACGTTTTAAGTCTATGAAGTCTGCAAAATTGTGACCGATTGTTGGTTTTGTGATGTGGACAAAATTGTCCTCCAGAGACGAGGAGGAGACCAAATCACTTGTTTTCACTAAATCAGATTCTAACTTGTGCTTCAGGAGTGGTTCCACTCTCCCATGGTGTTATGTATAGCCAAGCAAACACCCTTACAGCAAGGTGCAGATGTGGTGCAACACTTTTCTGGGGTTATAAAATGAGTAGAAGTGATAGAGCAATCTGCTGTCTTTTTGGTACGTATCATTTAAATCATATCTTACAGAGAGGTCACTTCTTGGAAATTAATGACTGCCTAAAGGAAATAAAGGGATAAGGAGAAAGTATAGGGGTCCTAAATCCAACCAGTGATTATTGACAGAGAAGTGCCTGGCCCTAGATGTGTTGCTATTATAAACCTTGAAAATATAGAGAAATGGAGCCTCTGTGGTCTTGAGGAGGATAAAAGTCTCAGGGAAGGAGAACATCAAATTGGAGCACAGAGAAACAGTTCCGTAGTTGAGACCTTCTTTCCAGATGGTGTCATGGTATCCTCTCATACTAAGGAAACCTCTCCGGGGGAGGGAACTCCAGTTCTCAGAAGAGACAAATAATGGTAATGGTGGACAATCATTAGAAATATATATAGCTGGGTTTGTGATGGCTAAGAGAGCAATATGGTGACTTGCTTGCTGGGTGCGAAGATTGCAGCTTTCAAGGCATCTAGACAGACTTATGTGTACTGTTGGGGAGGACATGGGAAGGATCTGAAAGAGATCTTGGAGGCCAAATTTAGGTTGAAATTCAGTATCTCTATGGTAGCATTTAATTTCAGAATGGGGAATGATACAAAAATGAAGAAGTTAGTTAAACTGAAATCAATAAGTATGGTTCCAAAAGTGAAAACCCTGAAAGCTGCATGGAAACTTTTTAATGAAACCATAATAGAGGCTCAATTAAATGTATATCCCAGAATAAAAAAAACCAAAGCATAGTAAGAGAACCAGAAAGGTGCGGCTATGGCTAAAAAACAAAGTAAAAGAAGCCATTATAGGCAAAAAGGCAAAAAGTAGACGTTAAATCCTGATAAGCAAATACAAAGGAGCATAAACTCTGGCAATTGAAGTGCAAGAATGCATTAGGAAGGCCAAAAAATGTTGAAGAATAGCTAGCCAAAGACTGAAAAAGTAACTGCAGATTTTTTTAAGTACATCAGAAGCAGGGAGCCTGCTAAACAACCAGTGAGGCCCTGGGATGATCAAGATGCTAAGGAACATTCAAGGAAGATAAGGCCATTGCAGAGAAACTAAAAGAATTTTTTGCATCAGTCTTCATGGCTGGGTATAAGAGGAAGATTCCCAAATCTGAGACATTCTTTTTATGACAAATCTGAGGAACTGTCCCAGATTGCGGTGTCATTTGAAGACTGGAAGATAGCTAATGTGATACCACTCTTTAAAAAAGGCTCCAGAGGCAAGCTTGGCAATTACAGGCTGGTAAACCTAACTTCTGTACCAGGCAAATTCGTTGAAACTATAATAAAGAACAGATTTATCACGCACACACAAACACAGTTTGTTGTGGAAGAATCAACATGGTATTTGTAAAGGGAAATCATGCCTCACCAGTCTACTAGAATTCTTTGAGGGGGTCAACAAGCAGGTGGATTAGGAGGAACCAGTCTATATAGTGTATTTAGATTTTCAGGAAGCCTTTGACAGGGTCCCCCATCAAAGATTCTTAAGCAAAGTAAGCTGTCATGGGATAAGAGGCAAGGTCCTCTCCTGGATGAGTAACTGGTAAAAAGATAGGAAAGAAAGGGTAGGTATAAATAGTAAGCTTTCAGAATGGAGTGAGGTACATAATTTTGTCCGTCAGGGGTCTGTACTGGTCCCAGTGTTGTTCACCATGTACAAATGTCATCTGGAAAAAGAGATAGTGAGGTGGCAAAATTTTCAGATGATGCAAAACTACTCAAGGTAGTTAAATCCCCAAAAGGCAGCAAAGAGTTACAAAGGAATCTTATAAAACTAGGTTAATAGGCTACAAAATGGTGGATTAAATGTATTGTTCATAAATGGTAAGCAATTCATATTGGAGAACATAATCCCAACTATACATAGAAAAAGATGGGGGCTTAAATTAGCTGTTAATACTCAAAAAAGAGATCTTGGAGTCACTGTGGATAGTTCTCTGAAAACATCTACTCAGTGTGCAGTGACAGTCAAAAAAACAAACAATTTTGGAAATCATTAGGAAAGAGATAAATAAGACTGAAGATATTATATTGCCTCAGTATAAATTCAAAGTATGCCCACATCTTGAATATTGCATCCAGATGTGGTTACTCCATCTCAAAAAAGGATATATTGAAATTGGAAAAGGTTCAGAAAAGGGCAACAAAAGTGATTAGGGGTATGGCTTCCCTTAAGTCTGGGCTTTTCATCTTGGTAAAGAGATTACTAACGGGGGATATGATAGAGGTCTATAAAATCAAGACTGGTGTGAAGAAAGTTAAGAGGGAAGTGTTATTTATTCCTGCTCATAACATAAGAGTTAGGGGGTCACCAAATGGAATTAATAGGCAGACGATTTAAAACAGACAAAGAAGTATTTCTTCATACAACACAGTCAACCTCTGGCACTTTTTACCAAAAGATGTTGTATGTTGTGAAGGTCAAGACTCTAAACGGGGATAAAAAAAACAGCTACACAAATTCATGGTCCATCAATAGCTGTTAGCTATGATGGGCAGAGATTGTGTCAATAGCGTCTGTTTGCCAGAAGCTGGGAACGGGCAACGGGGGGTGGATCACTTGATGACTCCCTGTTCTATTAATTCCCTCGGAATCACCTGGTATTGGCCACTGTTGGAAGACAGGAGAGGAGGCTCTAAACGGACCATTGCTATGACCCAGCCTGGCCTTCTTACGAGGTTTATGAAAGAAAACATTCCAGCTCTAGAATCATGGGACTCAAGGGAGACATTGTCCAGTAGTGGGAAGGAAACCGTCCCCGCTAGGATGTTTGTGTACAACTGCCTCTTTATTGGATAGAATTAGAATTACTCTGTGGTATGTCATGGTCTTTCTTCTTCTAACAAGTACTGGGGATTCTCCTTTAGTTTGATAGCATGGCCCTCTGCTTTCGGAGCTGGAGAATGTGATCTCTGTCCTGTTGTCATTGTGCAGTCCTGAATGGACATAGCATGCAGCAAAGTGACAGCCTTTTGTCACTTTGTATAGTTACGTGTTTGTTGCTATAAAACACTTCAAGAACTACCATTGTCCTGGTTTTCTTTACTTTTGTCCAAGGTTGAAGAATCTTGGCCTAAAGCTTCATATCCTGCAAAGGAAGTTTAGCAGTTAGAGGAAGGCACTTGGGAATTAAGAAACCTGTATTCTGTGCCTGACTCTGCCAAAGAAACCTTATAAATTAATTCCCTAGGTTG